CTACTTTATAAACTGTTCACATTTAAAGAAAATCATGTGTTTACAGGTGATGAAGAGAAGCAGAACACGGAGCCTCTCAGGATTGTGCTGATAGGAAAGACCGGCAGTGGAAAGAGCTCATCAGGAAACACCATCCTAGGAAGGAAAGAGTTTAAAGAAATGCCAAGTCAAACATCAGTCACCAAACATTGTCAGAAAGCACAGGGTGAGGTGGACGGCCGTCCTGTTGTTGTGGTCGACACTCCTGGTCTGTTTGACACAACTCTGTCACATGAAGAAGTTCATGAGGAGATGGTGAAATGTGTCAGTCTTCTGGCTCCAGGACCACATGTCTTCCTGCTGGTGTTAAAAATTGGTCGTCTCACACCAGAGGAGAAGGAGACATTAAAACTCATAAAGGAAGGTTTTGGGCCGAATTCAGAAAAGTTCACCATCATTCTTTTAACGGGAGGAGATTCACTAGAATGTAGCGAAATATCCACTGAAGATTACATTAAAGATGCATGTGATGATTCGTTTAAGAAGCTGATCGCTGACTGTGGAGGAAGATACCATGTGTTCAATAATGCAGACAAAAAGAACCGCCAACAAGTCAGTGAGCTGATAACAAAGATTGACACCATGATGAAGGACAATGGAGGAAACTGCTTCACCAATGAGATGCTGCAAGAAGCTGAAGCAGCGATAAAGAAGGAAATGGAGAGAATCCTGAAGGAGAAGGAAGAAGAGATGAAGAGAGAGAGAGAGAAGCTAGAAAGAAAGCATGAGGAAGAAAAGGAAGCCATCAAAAAAAGATTGGAAGAAGAGAAGAAAATATTACAGCGGGAAAGAGACCAGAAACTCAAGGAGATGGAGGAAAATCTAAATAAGGAGCGTGAGGAGAGGAAGAAAGAACAGGAAGTGAGAGAAAAAGAGAACAGGAAACGGGAAGAGGAAGAAGAAAAACGTAGGCAGGATTTTAAAATGCAGCTTGAAATGTTGGACAAACAAATTCAGTCAGAAAAAGAAGAAAAGAAAAGTGTGGATCAAAAGCTGGAAGAGAGCAGAGAAGAGATGAAGAGAAAACAAGAAGCCTGGGAGAAAGAACGAAGAGAAGAAAGAGAGAAACAACAAGAAGAAGATGAACAGAGACGACAGGAGGAGGAAAAACGACTGAAAGAAGAGAAAGAAAAAATACAGCAGGAAGCAGACCAGAAAATCAAAGAGATGGAAGAAAACATGAAAAAGGAGCATGAAGAGAAGAGAAAGAAAGAACAGGAAGCAAGAGAAAGCGAGAACAGGAAACGGGAAGAGGAAGAAGAAAGATGTAGGCAGGATTTTAAAATGAAGCTTGAAATGTTGGACAAACAAATTCAGTCAGAAAAAGAGGAAAAGAAAAGAATGGACGAAAAGCTGGAAGAGAACAGAGAAGAGATGAAAAAGAAACAAGAAGCCTGGGAGAAAGAACGAAGAGAAGAAAGAGAGAAACAAAAACAAGAAGATGAACAGAGACGACAGGAGGAGGAAAGACGACTGAGAGAAGAGAAGGAAAAAATGCAGCAGGAAGCAGAGCTGAAAATCAAAGAGATGGAAGAAAATATGAAAAAGGAGCATGAAGAGAAGAGAAAGAAAGAACAGGAAGTGAGAGAAAGAGAGAACAGGAAACGGGAAGAGGAAGAAGAAAGATGTAGGCAGGATTTTAAAATGCAGCTTGAAACTCTGGATAAACAAATTCAGTCAGAAAAAGAGGAAAAGAAAATTATGGCCAAAAAACTGGAAGAAAGCAGAGAAGAGATGAAAAAGAAACAAGAAGCCTGGGAAAAAGAACGACGAGAAGAAAGAGAGAAACGAAGACAAGAAGATGAACAGAGACGACAGGAGGAGGAAAAACGACTGAAAGAAGAGAAAGAAAAAATACAGCTGGAAAAAGAAAAACATGAAAAGAAAAGAAAAGAAGAAGACGAAATGAGGAGAGAAGAGGAGAAGAAAGAACGAAATCAGCTGGAGGAAAACTATAAAATACGTGTGGAAAATCTGAAGAAGATGCATGAAGATGAGGCCAGAAAGAGAGCTGAAGAGATCAATGATTTCAAAATGAAACACAACAAAGAGTTTGCAGCTCAGAAGGAGGAATACGAGAAGAAGATTAAAGACAAAGATGAGAAGTATGACCTGTTAAAGGCTCTCGCTGAGCTCACTGAAAAACAAAAGAGAGAAAAGCATCAAGCAGAAATCAAAGATGTGATCAAATGTCTGTCTAAGAAGAAAGAGAACGTGAAAAAAATCCAAGAGTTGCTGATAAAACATGAGGATCAAATGAAGATTGCAAAAAATGAGGAAGAAAAAGAAAACCTGCAGAAAATCCATGAAACTGAAATAAGTGAACTAATAAAAAAACTTCTGGATGAAGCTGAAACATCTTCCTGCAGCATTTTATGAGATTTGTTTCCTACTTTTTGTGACAGAGCTCAGCTGGATAAAATACTTTCTGTACATTAAAAGTTGAGATGAAGAGATATTTTATGGTCAGTTTGTAAACATTTTACAATTACAGATGGAATTCTTAATTTATCTTTTATATTTTCAGGATTGTTTCATTTTGTAACTTATATGATGTCAATGATGTCGATGATGCATGTAGGATGAATTGCTGCCGTGTAACTTAAGGTTTTAGAAAATATTTGAAACGCTGTTTAATTTTTTGGTATATTTTATTTAGATTATTGCAGTCACCAGCGTATGAAACAATAGAAGAAGCTTATTAGATATTTGCATGCTTGCTGTAATTAGAAATATTTAGTATTAAATAAATATAAGTATGTCCGTCTAAGAAGAGAGGAAATCTGAAAAAAATCAGAGATTTGCTGACAAAACACAAGGACCAAATGAAGATTGCAAACATCGAGGATGAAAAATAAAACCTGCAGAAAAAGCATGAAAAGGAGATCACAGAGTTCATAGAAAAACTTCTGAATGACTCTTCCTGCAGCGTTTCATGAGCTGATTAAAATTATTGTCAGATTTCAGCTACATGGACAAATGATTTTCGGTGCATTTAATACAATTTGTAACATTTCAGCACAAAATACTACGTTTGGAGTACAAGAATGCAGGTGTAGCTGCTGGTGCAGTAAAGCAGAGTCTGTACTACATTATTTTTACATACGAGCACAACAGACTCTTTGGTTCGTCTGACTGATTTTAAGGTTGATTCATAAACAATTTACAATCAGCAGATATTTGATTTAAATTCTTATTTTCAGGATCATGTTTAACCTTGTATTTATTTTCTAAAGGAAACATCTTTGTTTTTCTTTAATGTTCACTTTTATCAGTTGTTATAAAATCCTCTATATGATGTTTTTACCCTGTCATTTCTTTAAGTAATTCTTGCAGGTGGCATCTTATTAAAAACTTTTTTTTAATTCCTTGGTTAATATGGAGGATTTTTAGTAAACATGGAAGAATGCAGTTTCTAAGTAAAAAAATCACAGAAAATGTAAAAATGACTCAATGAATGAATTCATCACATGGAGAATAAGAACTGTTCATCAAGATAATTGACTGATTTTAAGACACTGTTCTTTGGTTTATTCAGAGTTATACTAAAGAAAATTAAGCAAAAGAGAAATATCCTAAATACAAACATACAGACATACACACACAAACCCCACAAAAACAAACAAAAAAAACCACACTTCACACTAACATGAAAACAGAAGCAGGGAATAGATGAGACAGGAGTGTTTATCTCTCCATCTCTGAGACCGAGCAGCTTTCCAGCATCCTGTGGTTCCTGCTTGCTTGCAATGTTTAGTAGATGTTTCTTTTCTTATGAGATGAATGTCCTCATGGTAATTTTTGGCAACTTTTCTTTGTTCTTTTCCTTGTTATACTAGCTTGTCACGTTTTGCCATATTGTGAATTTAAATGAAAGAAGTTATAATTATAGGGCTTTGGAGCGTGATGCCACCTCCCGCCATGACAGTAGGCCAAACAAAGCACACGGAAGCATCAGCTATGCTTCGTACGTGGTTGCAACATTAGATCACATGATAGGGAAGGCAAGAAGCTGGAAAATGGGCTCTTTTTTCATCGTTTCCCCTCCTGGAGGCAACGGGAGGGATCTCATGTATCCGATATTACTAAACGAAGACGTCAGGCTTGGATTGCAGCGGTGAGACGAGCGGATATCGAGTTCTCT